GAGTGGCCAGCCGGGCAGGTGGGCGGGGCCGAGCTCAGAGGGGCGGAGGCGCCAGGACCGGGAGGCGTGGTCAGCAGGGAAGGTGGGCGGGGCCGAGCGCCGGGGTTGGGCTGAGCGCAGGAGCCTCTGGATCCTCCAGGCTCTGCCCTGAGCGCGCGGAGGAGGAATCGGGGCGTCCCCCCCCACCCCCGCCCAGCTACGTGCTCCAGTGCCCAGCGCCCCGAGAGGGCGGACACCGAGGGTCCCGCCCCCGGGACTCGGACACCTGGCTTCGGAGCCCTCCTGGCCTCCGGGCTTAGGAAGGGATGCTTCGGTTTCCCCTGTGGGGCCCCGGGATCTGAATGGAAGGTAGGTAGACGGAAAGGGGGCGTCTGGAGGTTGGGGAGCCCCCTGGCGGGCTGTGGCTACAGAAGAAGAGGAGGGTGGGGATGTCCGTAGAACTTCTGGGCCCCATGAGCCTTAGGGGTCTAGCGAGAGGCGGTGATCTGGGGGTGGGGCCAGTGGAGGCGCGGGCGGCCTGGGACTGCGGAGGCCAGGTGTCAGGTGTGTGTGGGTGGGGGGGCTGCTCTCTCCGGCCTCAGTTTCCCCTCTTTTCCATGCAGGCCTGTGAATGGGTGGGTGCAAGTGAGAGAGTGCCTGGATGGTCTCCACTCCTTCCTGCCGCCTGGTAGTTCTTTGGGGAGGCTCCTCCCCCTGGGTGGGTGCAGAGCCCCGCTCATCCCCTCATCCCTGCTGGACAGGCCTACACCAGGGTCTGCCCAGCATCACATCCTGTGTGCCACTGGCCCTCTCCTTCGCGCTTCATGTTGGGGAGCAGCCTTCTGGTCCTACTTGCTTTCCAGCAAACTGAAAAGCCCCCCAAGTCCTCTGGGGGGGCCTGCCACAGCTGGCCTCCTGGCTCTCAGTTGGCCCTTGTTTCTTTCCCTCTTTCTGAGCCCTGTCCCTGTTTTGGCTTTGGTCTCCCCCTGGGCTGCTTCCTGGCCACAGGGTCCTTGGTTCATAGAGGGAAAAGTCTGCCATGTCACCCGTCCCCTGACTCTTTGGTGAAGAAAACCAGAGTGACACCCCCATTGCTCTGCCCTCATGTCCCAGTCACTGTGCCCCTGTTTGTTGGTTACTCAAGTCCCCTTTGCCAATCTGCACAGGGGGATCTGAGACGGGAAGGGACCCCATCCGGCCTACCCCCCTCTCACCCAGTGCAGGATCCCTCTGCTGTGTGCTCCGTGATGGCAAGCTCCTTATTTATGAGATGCTGTTCAGTGCCCTGCAGCTCTCGGTTCATTTACTTAAAATCAGTGGCTTGCAGACTCCACCGCCTGGGTCCACTTCTGCCTCCTGAAACCACGCAGAGTAAATTCATTCTTTTATTTATTCAAACAATCTTTATTGCTGCACTGGGTGAGACACTGGGTCTATAGCAGTGAGAAAAAATGTCATCAGCCCGGCTGGTGTGGCTCTGTGGTTGAGCATCGACCCATGAACCAGGAGGTGGCTGGTTCGATTCCCAGTCAGAACACATGCCAGGGTTTTGGGCTCAGTCTCCAGTAGGAGGCATGCAGGAAGCAGCTGATCCATGTTTCTATCTCTCTACCCCTTTCCTTTCTTTCTCTAAAATCAATAAAAACATATTTTTAAAAAATTATATTAAAAAAAATCAGACAAAATTCCCTGCACTCATGGCGTTAGTAATTCTAGAAAAGAGTCAAAGCAGTCAAATAAGTAAATATGTGATGTGCCAGGTGGCGAGAGTGCTATGAAGAGTATAAAGCCGGTGAGGGGGATGAGTTGTTAGGCAGGTTTATATAGCATGGTCAGGGACTGCCTCTCTGAGATGGTGACAACTGAGCAAAGCCTTGCAGGAGGGGAAGGTGAGCTTTGGGAATATCTGGGCAAAGGACAGTGTACCTCACACAGGCCCTCAGGCAGAACCATGACAGGCAGGAGCAGGTTTATCTTGTTCTGGGAACAAGGAAGGGGCTGGTGTGGCTGGAGCATGGTGGGTGGGGAGCCAGTGGGAGATTAGTAGGAAATGAGTGGGGAGGTAAGGCCTGGGGAGGTGGGGGCACTGCATGGGGCCTTGAAGGCCACTGTGAGGGCTTTGCTGGTTTTCACTCTGAGTGCCGAGAGAGCCACGAAGGGCTTGGAATAGAGGAGTCACCTGCTGTGACTTGGGGTCAGCAGGTTCATCTGGCTATGGGTGGGAGAAGAGGGGACCAGTGAGGCGACCACTGTTGTCATTCTGGGAGAGACCAGAGGAGCCTGTACCTGTGGCATAGAGATGGTGAAAAAATATCAGATTTCGAGCTTTGAGATATATTTTGAAGCGGGGTAGACAGGACTTGAGATGAGAGAGAAAGCAGGAGTCAGGATGACTTGGGGGGTTTTGGCCTGTGTATCTGGAAGTTTGGAGCTGCTGCTTCTGGACTGAGATGGAGCTGTTTAGGGGGAAGATGTGGAGTTTGGCTTGGTGACTGTTGAGTTTGAGATGCCCATAGGCATCCACGTGAAGACGTCTGGTAGGCAGTTGGGGAACGTTTAGTGGAGCGGTTGGAACTGGAAATAAAACTTTGGACCATATCACCGTATAGTCAGCATTAAAGCGGTAAGAGCAGGTGAGTTCACCTAGGGAGAGAGTGATACGGAGAAAAGAGGTCCAACCAGGGAGCTCTGGGGCTCCCGGGATGGGAGCCAGCCAAGGAGACAGAGCGTCCAGTGAGGTGGGGGGAAAATCGGAGTGTTGGGGTGTCCGGAGGTGAGGAGGAGGGGAGCCGTGAGGACAGGTGCCTCTGCAGGAGCAGGAAGATGAGGGCTGAAGACCAAGCCACGCAGGGCTCACTGCTGGGGCCACGGGTGACCAGGGCAAAAGCAGCTGGGGGTAAGGGAGACCTGACGGGAAGGGCTGGAGTTGGGGACAGCGGTCCAGACAGCAGACAAGGAGTCCTGCTGTGGAGGAGCCAGAGAGATGGGATTGGAACCAGAAGGCAGCGGGTGTGGAGAGAGGGCTTTCCTCCTGGGCTGAAGTTATGGTCTGTTTGCACAGTGACTGGATGCTCTCCTAGGCAGAAGCCAGTGAAGGGACCAGGAAGGATGGCTGCAGGAGGCAAGGGGACGGATGGTGCCCCAGGGGCGGGGAGGGGGCCCACTGAGGTCCAGGACAGCTCAGAAGTCAGGCTTCCCAGAGCCTCCCCCTTCTCCTGTCTGCAGGGACCCAGCAGCTGAGATTTCATCATCGAAGCAAATCAGGTGCTCAGGGACCCAAAGACCCAGGCTCGCCGTGGTCTCAGGAAGGAAGGAGGCATCAGGGCCTGTCCTGGGTTTGGGGATTAGGGAGGGTCTGAGTGGGTTACCCCTTCCCCTTGGCCCTGTTTCAGCAAGGAAGTGCCCTTTTCTCTAAATTGATGGGCCTCACCTTCTTTGAGGAAAGACTATAATGATTCCAAAGTTGTAGTAACTGAAGTGAAGAGGCAGTGATGATAGGCAGATCATCTTTCTCTCCCAAGTTAAAGTGGAGCAGGAGAAACTTAAGCTAGACATAATGAGGAACTTCCTGAGTGCTTAATGAGGACAGCAATGAGGCCAGGTTCTCCCTCCTGGATGCTTAAGATGAAAAGGCCACACATGCTAGCAGACAAGGTGCTGGCCAAATTGGTCCTCGGGGAATTTCCCTGCTCCGAGGTTTCTGGAACAGGGGCCCGGCCAGAGATGGGACTTTCCAGCTGCTGGTAGGAGGACAGAGTGATAAATGCTATGGCTTTGCCCTGCCTCTACCCACTGGTGTCCACAGAGCCCTGACATGGCTAGTAGGGTATGTGGCTCAAGCATCTGGCCGCCTCAGTATGTTCAGGAAGGGCCCTGCTTACTTGTCCCCGTGGGTGAGCACATCTGTGGATGTGTCTCAGGTCCCTGTGGGGTCTCTCAGTGCGGGTCATGGTGGATGCACAAGGCTGTGGGCCAGAACTGCCCAGCATTACCTCTTTCCACACAACTGGTTGGCCAACTCTGGCTTCCGGCCCATCATTTTGGTGTTTCCCCTGGCAGATCTAGACCTGCCAGTCCGGTGTCCTGGCCTTCCTGTTCCTGTTCAGGGCCTGCCCAGATGACTGGGCCATGCCTGCTGAGCTGGGATGAGGGAGACCATGGTCCAGCTCCCCAGACACAGAGGAGAGAGAAGCTGTCCATCCGGGTGAGAGGAGCAGGCATTGTCCTGTGTCACATCTTAAACTTTGCTAATTCCTGGCTGCCCATGTGCCTTCCAGGTGTTGGGTCAGAGGGAGAGCTCAGCCCCCATTTCTGGGCTGTTCCCCGAGGGAGGGATGGGTGGTTCTCTTTCCCAGGACCTGGGCATGGGTGCTGAGGGTTGCTGTTTCCACAGCTGAGAGCCACTCCAGGACCACGCTCAGCACTCTTCCTGTCCCCTCCTGTTCCCTCCTCTCCCCCCTCCTCACCTCTAACCCCTTGATGCCTCTGCTTGGCCCTGGGCACTGGGAGGCTGCCTGCTTGGCCAGGGAGAACAGTTTTGGGTCCTGGTTCGCTCTACCCTCTTTATTGGGGATGCCCTGCTTCTCAAACTGCGGGACACACAGGCAACCTCACTGCCTCAATTTCCCCATCTGGCCAGCACAAGGCTTCTAGTTGGAGATTGCTCCTTTCCCTTACTTTGGCTGGCATATGATGGCAGGCACAGAATGTCCCAGGCTTGTCCCCTCCCTCAGTGGATTTTTGATTTATGAACATTCCCATTGTGCCTCTCCAGGGCCCCGCCCGTGCCGACCTGGGGGTGCCAGCATGAGTAAGTCTCAGGCTTCAACTTGGCCCAAAAGGGAGTGAGACACATAAACAGCCAATGGGAATGATGCAGAGTCACCCAGCTCCTGTGGCTGCTGCCCTGAGCGTCTGGGAATGCCCCGGGTTTATAGAGAAGCAGGCGCCCCTCCTCTTTTTCCATGCCTCTGCCCTTTCACTTTCATGTTCACCAGCCCAGGTCCCCAGGGCAGACTCTGCTGAGAGATTCTCTTTGTTGCTTGGGGACCCTCCGAGGGCTTGAATCTCTGAGAGACCGTTTCCCCTCAATTCCCAGAGCCCAGAGGCTGAGGGCTGAGCTCAGAGCAAGCCATGGACAGAGGAGACAGCATGTAATGTTTGGTGGTGATGGAGGTGATGGCCTGGGGCAGTTGGGAAAGGGACAGTGATGACTGGGGCCTGTGCACCCATGAGCTTTGACACTACTTAGTTTACAGCATAATTTTTGTTTTGCTTGGTCTGGGCTCTTTATAGCAGTGTTCTGGGTCTGCCTCTTGGGGTAGCAGAGGGTTACCTACACAGGCATGGGCTCAGGGCCCCTGTGGGGAACTCAACTACAAGGGAATTAAATGAATACTTCTGGAGTTTTACGTCTTGGGTTCAAATCCACCCCATCTGCCTGTTAATCCCTGTATAGGTCATCTAGCTTCTCTGTGCCTTAGTTTTTCCATGTGTAAAATGGGGCTCATCACAGCATCTACTTCAGAGTGGATGGAAGGGGTAAATGAATTCGTGTAGGAAGCTGCTTAGGATAGTGCCTGGTACATTGTAGGTGCTTAATGAATATCAGCCATTATTGAAGAGAGGGGCTGTAGCCTAAACCCAGCCAGTATGGAGGAGCCCTCTCACACTGCCTCAAAGAGAATTCATTTCCTGGTCCTTTGGGAGACATTACTCTTAATATGGGTTCAAACTGTTTTAAACTTCCTAAGCCAGGCCTGAATGAAGTATGGAAATGGGAGCCGGCGTCTTGATTGAACTTCTGCCTGCTTCAAACTCTCTGTGGGACCTTGAGCCAGTTTCTTTTCTTCTCTGGGCCTCAGTTTCTACATCTGTACAATAGGGAACTTGGATTGGGGAAAGTCTGAGGGCAGAACCGTGGCCAGCTTGGACTTGGGGTGGACTGACGGGCCCCTGCTCTGCCCCGCTCCCCCATGCATGCCTGCTCCTGAAGGCGTCATGCTGACCTCCCTCTCTTCCCCAGGCTGTGAAATGGGCACGCAGGAGGCTTTCCAGGCACAGAGGAGCCAGCTGGTGGAGCTGCTGGTCTCGGGGTCCCTGGAGGGCTTTGAGAGTGTCCTGGACTGGCTACTGTCCTGGGAAGTCCTTTCTTGGGAGGACTATGAGGGCCTCAGCCTCGTGGGCCAGCCCCTCTCCCACGCTGCCAGGCGCCTCCTGGACACTGTCTGGAATAAAGGCGCTTGGGGCTGTGAACAACTCATCGCGGCCGTGCGGGAGGCGCAGTCTGACAGCCAGTCCCCCACACTGCGTGGCCCCTGGGACCCCCACTCACCCCACCCGGCCCGGGACCTGCAGTGTCACCGGCCAGCCATCGTCAGGAGACTCTACAGCCACGTGGAGGGCGTGCTGGACCTGGTGCGGGCCCAGGGTTTCATCAGCCCCTATGAATGCGAAGGAATCAGGCTGCCCATCTTCACGTCATCCCAGCGGGTGAGCAGGAGTCACAGGGAGAGGGGCTGCTTAGTGGCTAAGACTCATTTGTCTCGGTGAAGTCCGTCCTGTGGTGAGGTGCCCGCCCTGGGCTTCCCCTAAGGAGGTAGCCAGCGGGTGAAGTTGCTGCATTTTGGTATCACCCGCTTGTGATGAGAGGACCGCTGCCCGGTGGCCCGGGGCTTGGATACTGGAGCCGGGTGGGGCAGGCTCCGGGCTTTCTCTGTGTGACTGCAGGCCTCTCCACGGAAACCCTCCTGCCCCAGTCTCTCCCGTCTCAGCTTCCTCATTTGTAAAACTGCGGTGAGGTTCTTGGAAGAATTCAGTGAGCTGATCTGTGTAACACATAGAACAGTGTCTAGCCCATAGTAAGCACTCAGTTCCTTTATCATAATATTTTATACTGCGCACATCTAAGGCTGTTTGCAACGATCAGCTCAATGGATATAAAAATTCATTAAATTAAATCTGTTTAATAATAAATATAAATGAATATAAGCACACTGTACACTAATATAGTTTAGACGCCCACATAGGATTTCTGATATGAAATTGCATTGTGTAATTTCATATGTTATGGTATAAACGTGCTCCCACCACCCAGGTGAAGACTAGTACCTGTGTCCTTCCTCAATTACAGTGGCTCATGGTGACCACTGGCCTGACTTCTGTGTTAACTGCTTCTCTGCTTTACTTTATAGTTTTAATACCTTATAAAATAACCCCCCAAATAATGTATTGTTTTGTTTTGAAAATGGAAGAGTGAGCACAGACGTAGCTGTGACAGGAGCAAGGAAGCTCAGGGTCTCAGGGCCGTGGTCTGGGTTTCCTTTCACCGAGAGTCATGTGGGCCCCGCCTGGGAAGTCAGTGGGCAAGGTCATAAGTGAGTCCTGGGAAATACAAGGTTCACTGCAGCTGGCGGGTCTGGAAGGGTGGGTGTGAGTTGGGCTGGATGTCCCCCTTTTTTTTTTTTCTAAGTTACCCACTCTTTTAGTGGGCTTCGAGAGGGAGCCAGATTGGACGTGTGTTGAAGTGTTGATTTCACCGCCCAATACTGTGTGGCCTTCTTTAAACTCACGCGGCTGTCTGGTTGTTTTTCTGGCCTTGTATTGTGCTGCAGGAGAGATGCCTATGAAATCGCAGTTATCAGCAGACACCTTCCCACACAGATCCATCAGCCTTTCTGGAGAAATAATGACTTTTGCTTTTTCCCATAGGCAAGAAGGCTCCTGGACCTGGCCACGGTGAAGACCAATGGGTTGGCCGCCTTCCTTCTACAGCATGTTCAGGAATTACCAGTCTCACTGACCCTGTTTTTCGAAGGTATGTATGTTCTTCTTAGTCCATCAGAAAAGGAAATAAGGGCTGTGCACATTCATGGCTAGGAGCAAAAGCTCCGGAGTGAGAGATGTCAGTTAGGATCCCACCTACTAGCTGTGTGAGCCTCCCTAAGACGCAGTCTCCTCGTTTTAAGGATGACACCGCCACTGCCTCATTGGGCTATTGGGAGGATTAACAGCATCAATGTGCGTAAAATTAAGGTTAGCTCTTATTATTTCCAGAGTGATCATGGGAGCTGTGTATTGAGGTACACACTCATTATGTGTACCAAAAAGATACGGACACACTTTGAAATAGGGCTGTTCTCTCTTTTACTTTTAAATTTATTTTTCAATTACAGTTGGCTGACAATATTACATGAGTTTCGGGTGTACAACCTACTAATTAGACATTTATATACCTTACGAAGGTCTGGAATCTCTTGATCTCTGCAACTCAGCTATTCACTACCAGAAGCTCGAGAACCAAATGGATTTAGATAACGTTGTATCTCTCATTGCGCAGGGTCACCAGCCCAGCTCAGGCATCCTGCTCCGTGCTTTGTTTACAACCTCTGTCCCCTGAGAAGCCGGTGTTGTTTTCTCTGCTTTCCAGATGTGAAAACTGGGCAGGAGGTCCAGTGAGGAGGTAGGGGAGGCTGGGCCTGGTTTTAGACGGTCTCCAACCATGCTTTCTCCTTTCTTGGGACAAGAGGTTATCAGCGGTAAAGAGAAGACATGCACCTGGAGCTCTTTGAGTCTTGTTCTCTGGTCTCTGTAGGGAAAGTCACTCTGTCTCTGCATGGTGCTTGCAGATGGATTTGCCACCCTTGGCCCTGCTCTCTGGGCCATTAGCGTGCCCATGGGAGGGATGGCTGGAAGCCTATGCTTGGCACCTGGGTGTGTAGCCTCTCACCTGAGAACAGAGCACAGACGTCGGTGCACGTGAGGGGATGCACAGCCCAGAGCCAGTGCCCGCTTAGCCCTTGGTGAACATTTGTGTCATTACTAAGCTCCACTGGCTGTTCATGCATTGTAACACCATGCCACAGGGCAAGATTCCCCAAGGTGCCAGCCCTAAAGGTGACAACTGACATTGTTTTTAAAATGAGAGGTAAGCAAGCCCTGGCCTGTGTGGCTCAGTGGTTAGAGCATTGGCCTGCGCACCCAGGGGTTGTGGGTTCGATTCCCAGTCAAGGGCATGTACCTCAATTATGGGTTCACCCCCTCCCCCCTGTCGGGGCGAGTGCGGGAGGCAGCCAGTCAATGTGTCTCTCTCACATCGATGTTTCTCTCTCACTCTCTCCCTTCCCTTCCNGTTATCAGCAGACACCTTCCCACACAGATCCATCAGCCTTTCTGGAGAAATAATGACTTTTGCTTTTTCCCATAGGCAAGAAGGCTCCTGGACCTGGCCACGGTGAAGACCAATGGGTTGGCCGCCTTCCTTCTACAGCATGTTCAGGAATTACCAGTCTCACTGACCCTGTTTTTCGAAGGTATGTATGTTCTTCTTAGTCCATCAGAAAAGGAAATAAGGGCTGTGCACATTCATGGCTAGGAGCAAAAGCTCCGGAGTGAGAGATGTCAGTTAGGATCCCACCTACTAGCTGTGTGAGCCTCCCTAAGACGCAGTCTCCTCGTTTTAAGGATGACACCGCCACTGCCTCATTGGGCTATTGGGAGGATTAACAGCATCAATGTGCGTAAAATTAAGGTTAGCTCTTATTATTTCCAGAGTGATCATGGGAGCTGTGTATTGAGGTACACACTCATTATGTGTACCAAAAAGATACGGACACACTTTGAAATAGGGCTGTTCTCTCTTTTACTTTTAAATTTATTTTTCAATTACAGTTGGCTGACAATATTACATGAGTTTCGGGTGTACAACCTACTAATTAGACATTTATATACCTTACGAAGGTCTGGAATCTCTTGATCTCTGCAACTCAGCTATTCACTACCAGAAGCTCGAGAACCAAATGGATTTAGATAACGTTGTATCTCTCATTGCGCAGGGTCACCAGCCCAGCTCAGGCATCCTGCTCCGTGCTTTGTTTACAACCTCTGTCCCCTGAGAAGCCGGTGTTGTTTTCTCTGCTTTCCAGATGTGAAAACTGGGCAGGAGGTCCAGTGAGGAGGTAGGGGAGGCTGGGCCTGGTTTTAGACGGTCTCCAACCATGCTTTCTCCTTTCTTGGGACAAGAGGTTATCAGCGGTAAAGAGAAGACATGCACCTGGAGCTCTTTGAGTCTTGTTCTCTGGTCTCTGTAGGGAAAGTCACTCTGTCTCTGCATGGTGCTTGCAGATGGATTTGCCACCCTTGGCCCTGCTCTCTGGGCCATTAGCGTGCCCATGGGAGGGATGGCTGGAAGCCTATGCTTGGCACCTGGGTGTGTAGCCTCTCACCTGAGAACAGAGCACAGACGTCGGTGCACGTGAGGGGATGCACAGCCCAGAGCCAGTGCCCGCTTAGCCCTTGGTGAACATTTGTGTCATTACTAAGCTCCACTGGCTGTTCATGCATTGTAACACCATGCCACAGGGCAAGATTCCCCAAGGTGCCAGCCCTAAAGGTGACAACTGACATTGTTTTTAAAATGAGAGGTAAGCAAGCCCTGGCCTGTGTGGCTCAGTGGTTAGAGCATTGGCCTGCGCACCCAGGGGTTGTGGGTTCGATTCCCAGTCAAGGGCATGTACCTCAATTATGGGTTCACCCCCTCCCCCCTGTCGGGGCGAGTGCGGGAGGCAGCCAGTCAATGTGTCTCTCTCACATCGATGTTTCTCTCTCACTCTCTCCCTTCCCTTCCCTCCTTTCCATTCTCTCTGAAAAGCAATGGAAAAAATATCCTCAGGTGAGGATTGACAAAATTAAAAATTAAAAATAAATAAATAAAATGAGAGGTAATTTTTTTTTCTGGAGAAGTTTGCTATCATTGGTGGTAGATGGAAAACCTGCATGGAAATCAGGGCATTAGGAACAGATATATTTTGTGGACTTTGTTCAGTGCTCTTGGTATATCCAGAGGGCGTTAAGAGCCATGGTCATCAGCTCTGGGAGCAGAACAGGCACAGGGCATCTCCTTCCTGTGACTAAATCCAGCTTGTGTGTGCTGAGAGCGCTCTGTGGAAATTGCTTGCTAGCCTTTGGGCTGCGAACAAATGGGCCCGAGCTTGGTTGGGGACAGTGAGGCCGTGATGGAGTGAACGGTGCTCTGAGGTCTCACCAGCCGGGCCTCCAGACCACCACTTGCCCATTTCCCGAAGGGGGAACTATGCCCCGACAAAGAAGTGGCTGCTCAGGTATTAGGATGGTAAAGGAAAAGCGGCAACCTTGTGGACACAGCCTGTAAGTGGGACTCCAACTGCAGGGGCTGGGCGCAGAGGATTAGGAAGTGGGCCTCCATCAGGAAATCTTGTACAAGTACTCGGCCCGGGCACCCCAGTGACCCCGAGGGCTAGGCCCACCCAGATAATCCAGGACAATCTTCCCATCTCGAGGTCTTTAATCACATCTGTCTAGTCCCTTTTGCAAGCAAGGTGACAGTCAAAGGTTCCAAGGATTAGGATGCAGACATCTTTGGGGGGGTCATGATTGTGCCTACCACACATACTACTAATAATCATAATAAATACCATTTTTGTGAAAGTTTGCCATGTGTCAGGCATTCTTCTAAACTCTATTTTATCTCATTTCCTCCTGAAACCATCCTTCAAGATGTGGATTTTCCCCATTTTTCAGATAAAACTATCGAGGTCAGAAAAGTGGCTTGCCCAGGCTGATGGGGGACCCCGCTTCCCAGGTTTGAAGCTCAGGTGTGTCTGACTTCAGGAACAGGATCCCTCAGCCCTCACACTTTCTGCTTCCCTTTAGAGAGATTCATCTGAGGCTGAGTAGTGAAGGGACTTACCTGAGGCCGCTTGGGCATCAGAATGCAGGTCTGCTGACTCAGCCCAGTGCCCCTTCTAACCTGCAGCACCTCCTGATGCCATTAATAATAACAGCATTCAGTTATGTCATTTGAGCATTTATTTTGTATTGAGCACTGAATGAAGCCCTTGGCATGAGCTATCTTAATTGTTCCACGTAAAAACCCTATAAGGCAGGGACTGCCATCTCTCTCACCTTACAGGGGAGGAAACTGAGGGTGAGGAAGGTTACATGACCGTCCTCAAAGCCCACGGCTCCTGAGTGGAGAGCCCGCTGGCTGTCCTCCCACCTGTGACGTCACACCGCCCCATGCAGCCCCCTCCCCGCTCAGCCCCACTCCACTGGCCTCTCCCTGTCTTGCAGACACAGTGTGTAAGAAGTACCTGTCCAAGCTGAGGACCACGGTCTCCGCCCAGGCTCGCTTCCTGAGCACCTACGATGGGGCGGAGAATCTTTGCCTGGAGGAAATATACACGGAGAACGTCCTGGAGGTCCGGACGGAGGTGGGCATGGCTGGACCCCCCGAGAAGAGCCCTGCCACCCTGGGCCTGGAGGAGCTCTTCAGTGCCCGCGGGCACCTCAATGAGGACGCGGACACCGTGCTGGTGGTGGGCGAGGCGGGCAGCGGCAAGACCACGCTCCTGCAGCGGCTGCACCTGCTGTGGGCCGTGGGGCAGGACTTCCAGGAGTTTCTCTTTGTCTTCCCATTCAGCTGCCGGCAGCTGCAGTGCGTGACCAAACCCCTGTCCGTGCGGACGCTGCTCTTTGAACACTGCTGTTGGCCTGACCTCGGGCAACAAGAAGTCTTTCAGTTCCTTCTTGACCACCCCGACCGTGTCCTCTTAACCTTTGATGGCTTTGACGAGTTCAGGTTCAGGTTCACGGATCGTGAGCGTCACTGCTCTCCGACTGACCCCACGTCCGTCCAGAATCTGCTCTTCAACCTGCTGCAGGGCAACCTGCTAAAGAATGCCCGCAAGGTGCTGACCAGCCGCCCGGACGCGGTGTCCGCGTTCCTCCGCAAGTACGTGCGCATGGAGCTCAACCTCAAGGGCTTCTCGGAAGACAGCATTGAACTGTACCTGAGGAAGCGCCACCAGGAGCCGGGTGTGGCCGACCGGCTCGTCAGCCTCCTCAGAGCGACCTCGGCCCTGCACGGTTTGTGCCACCTTCCGGTCTTCGCGTGGATGGTGTCCAAATGCCACCGGGAGCTGTTGCTGCAGGGCACGGGGTCCCCGAAGACCACCACGGATATGTACCTGCTGATCCTGCAGCATTTCCTGCTGCATGCCTCCCCACCAGACTCAGCCCGCCACGGCCTGGCGCCCAGCCTGCTTCGAGGCAGGCTCCCCACCCTCCTGCACCTCGGCCGCCTGGCTCTCTGGGGCCTGGGCATGAGCTGCTACGTGTTCTCGGCCAAGCAGCTGCAGGCGGCGCACGTCGACGGGGAGGACGTTTCTCTTGGCTTCCTGGTGCACACCAGAAGCGCCGTGCCCGGGAGCGCACCCGCCCTGGAGTTCCTGCACATCACTCTCCAGTGTTTCTTTGCTGCCTTCTACCTGGCACTGGGCGCTGATGTAACGCCGTCCTCTCTCAGACACCTCTTCAATTGTCGCCGGACAGGGGGCTCGCCGCTGGCCAGGCTGCTGCCCACGGTGTGCGTGCAGGGCTCGGGGCGCGAGGAGGGCAGTGTGGAGGCTTTGCTGCAGGAGGCCGAGCCGCACAACCTCCAGATCACGGCGGCCTTCCTGGCGGGGCTGCTGTCCCGGGAGCACCAGGGCCTGCTGGCCGAGTGCCGGGCGTCCGAGAAGGCCCTGCGGTGGCGCCAGGCCTGTGCCCGCTGGTGTCTGGCCCGCAGCCTCCATAAGCACTTCCACTCCATCCCGCCAGCCCTGCCGGGCGAGGCCAAGAGCATGCACGCCCTGCCGGGCTTCGTCTGGCTCATCCGGAGCCTGTACGAGATGCGGGAGGAGCGGCTGGCGCGGGAGGCTGTACGCGGGCTCAAGGTCGGGCACCTCAAGCTGACGTTCTGCGGCGTGGGCCCTGCCGAGTGCGCTGCCCTGGCCTACGTGCTGCGACACCTCCGGCGGCCTGTGGCCTTGCAGCTGGACCACAACTCTGTGGGCGACATTGGCGTGGAGCAGCTGCTGCCTTGCCTTGGTGTCTGCAAAGCTCTTTAGTGAGTGCTGGCGGGCGAAGCTGGTGGGCTCGGTGGGGGTGCTGCCATCGAGGTGCAGGTGTGGGAACAGCTGCCGGGGCCCAGGAGTTTGGGCCCAGCCCGCCCCCCCTCCTGCGCAGCCCCAGCTGGGTCCCTTCCCCAGTCTGGGCCTTAGTTTCTGTTGTTATTTTTAATATTTGTTTCAGGCGCACAGCATAGTGGTTAGACAATTGTGTACTTTACAAAGCGGTCCCCCAGATAATTCTAGTTCCCACTTGGCCTGGGCCTTGGTTTAGATAGATGATAATGATAGCCATAATCCGTAGGACAGCCCGTGTGACAGGCATTGTGCCTCACACTTCCCAGAGCGACTTATTTATCTGCACGGCCACCCTGGGCTGTAGCAGGGGCATTCTTTTTCCTATTATCCTAGCTTTGAGGCTCAGAGATGTGATGTAACTTCTCCAAGGTCACACAGGAAATGGCAGAGCTGGGAGACACAAGTCACACCTCTCAGGTCACAAGTCCCCGCTCCCCAAGTCCCACAGGCAGCCTGTCTGTGGATGGGCTCCAGAGGCTGCCTGACAACCTTGAAGCCATATGCAAAGTTTTGTGTCATTTGTGTCTGTGTCAGGAACTGCCCCAAATCAGAGGTGACTTGTGCCCCATCAGAAACTTTAAAATCCCAACAAGGTGGGAGTTTCAGGACCCCAGAAAGAGAAAATGATTGTGGAATTTCACCTGAGCTTTTATTCCTTATGTAGCGCTGGGTCCAGATGAAGTTTTGATATCACTCATGCCGCCTTCAGCCCGTCTACAGGTGTGAGGCCCTCCCTTTGGGAGGTCGCTGCCCCAGCGCCTGGGGGCCTCTCTCCTTGTCTTGGGCCAAGTGAGCGCAGAGGGTGTGCCCAGGTCTAGCCACCAGCCCATTGCAGGTTCCCCAACTTCCCTTCTTGCCTTTTGAAAGGAGATGTCCTGCCCCTATTTATAACCTCTGAGAAAGAGGAAGTTATAAGTTAATGTTGAAATCTACTCACGTCTCCCTGGTGACTTTATTTGGCCCTAATCAAGGGACAGACATCTCCTGGAACATATGAGGATGACATACCTTCTCTAGGCCAAAGCAGCAAGACTTTCTTCTGCATGGAGCAAACACACAGATGGCTACTAGAAACTGAAGGGGACCTTCGTCCCTTACATAGGGACTGTTGGCCCAAGTTTATAAATAGGATGTAACAATATGTCGTATAGAGTTAATATGTGTATATCATATAGTTAATATATATATAGTAAATATGAATATATCAGGAGGAAGAGATGACACACTTAAATTGGGTGGTTAGAGGAGAGTTTAATAAAGGGAGTGTTTTCAAAAGCTTTCGTGGGTGTTAGGAAGAGCTAGTGAGGGCTGCTCAGGATCAGAACGTCCAATGAGGGATTCCAGAGCCTGAGCTGTTACTTTTAAGTCAGGCCCCCCCCCCCAAGTTTGTCTGAAGATGAAGAGTCATGCACACAGTTGTTAAAATACCCAGATCCCCAGGCCCCACCCCACACATGCCAAATGCCAACTCCAGGTGTGGGGCTGGAAAGTCTTTGTTTTAAGGATGCTTTCCAATCCTGTGATCAGGTGAGCCTTGGGAACACTGACCCAACAGGCATGTCAGGGGCAGGGCCTGGCCTGCAGGAGTGATGTCATTGGGGTGAAGTGCTGGACAGGGCCTCACTAACCACAGTCTGCATGCAGGTTTTCCAAAGTATTGGCCACTCTTGTCTAACTGGTCTACCATGTGCTCACCCAGCTGCCCAGCTTCTCTGCACCTTTGCCACGTGCCTGCTCCTTCGCCCTTGGAACCTTCTATGAGGCTGCTCTGATTGCCATTTCCCTTTCCCAGAGCTGGAAAGGGTGCCTCGGACGAGGTGTGTGACTCCCTGAGGAGTGCAGTGTTCTTCAGCAGGAGCTTGGGGTCCCCAGTTGCTGAGCCGTCCCCCACACAGTGCATGACGTCAACAGCCTGGCCAGGGATGGGAGAGTCTCCCTCTTTTCTAGGCTGTTCCCTCTTTGTGGGGTTTCCTGCAAGCACAGATGCTGGTGCTTTGGGGAGGAGTAAAACTCTCTTTTAAGGTTTTGCTCATTTTTTCCCCCTCTCATGAGCTGTTTTCAAGTTTATTTATTTGATGTTTTTTAGCCTGCGAGATAATAACATCTCAGACCGAGGCATCTGCAAGCTCGTCGAGCATGCCCTTCACTGTGAGGAGCTGCAGAAGCTGGCGTGAGTAGGGCTGGGCCATGGGTGTTGGGCCCTGTGTCCCCAGCCTCACTCCTGGCCATGTCCCCAGGGAGCAGTTTCAAGCTGTGATGGGCTGGACAGGTGTTTGCATGGCTGAAGGATGCAAGTGACTTCCATCCTGAGGGGACAGGCTGCCCGGGGTTTGGGTGGTCGCTGTCCGCTGTGCTTGTCTCCATGTCTCTCTCTCTGAATTTTCCAGTTTGTTCAACAACAAGCTGACCGACGGCTGTGCACAGTCCATGGCCAGGCTCCTTGAGTGCAGGCAGAACTTCCTGGCGTTGAGGTGAGCCTCGGCCTCTGTTCCTTGGAAGCTGTCTTCCCCGCACAGCTCCATCAGCGCAGTCTGGGCTCAGCCCTGGCTCGGCCCGTCCTGGGTGCATGATCTCCTGGCCGAGCACAGGGGCAGGGTCTGCTTTGGGGCAGGGCTGTGCTGTGGCCTCCCCAGCGAACCCTGGACTGGCTGTGCTCAGGGCTTCCTGCCCTTTGACCTTTAACGCCCAGGGCTGGGGAGGGTTTGCTGGCCCCTTTCCTTACCTGTGTCTGAGAGTGTTACTAGCTCTCTGGGTCAACAGATTCCCTGTTGAACTTGAGCACGTGCTAGGGAGGAAGGCATGCTGCAGTCACTTGCCACCACAGGTGTGGCTGTCAGGAGCCAAAAAGCTCTCAGAAAGTCCCTCCGCTGCTTGGACGGTGCAACAGGCGCGGGGTTTGATCTCCAGCCGGGGAGGTCTGCATGTCTGCTGCCCCACCCTCCTGACCTCAGCTGGTCTCGCCTGTGTGACACCATTGCATCGCCCCTCCAGCTGGTCCCTCGCTTGGCCTGGCTCCTCTTTCTCTCGGGGCTATTCTTACCTCCTGGATTGACAGGCAGTGAAAGAAAAGGTGAAGAATTGCCTGCATTCATCCTTTCTACCCCCTGCACTAGGTTTGGGGACGGGAGCTGCCATTTTTAAACTGTTGACTATGTAGCTCAGTCTCAGGCAGGGCGCTGAGGCCAAGGCCAGAGGTGCCCTTCCGTGTGAAGGACTCCCTTCTGTCTCCATCACCGTGGCTGTGGCCAGGCCTGGGCTGGCCCGACCCCAGGGAGGGCTGCGGGTAGCGGATGGTGGAGGCCTGGGTGTCTAGCTAATAGAGCACTGTCACTCAGAGCCTAGGCTCTGGAGCCAGGCCAACTGAGGTCTGAACACAGATCCCTGCAGTTTGAATCCCCGTTAGCTGTGTGACCTTGGGTCAGCCCACTGTGTGCCTCTGTTTCCCCTTCTGTCAGATGGAGATAGTGATAACAGCCACCTTCCCAGGAGTTGCGATGATTCAGTGAGTTGAGGTTCAAGTACACCCTGTAGTAAGTACTTTACACAGTGAGTGAAAGATCACAGGAATCACCTAAGTTCTCAGCACGCCTGTCCATGTCCAGTCTCCGAGGAGGGAGTACTTATGCAGTTGATTTATTGGGAAAAAAAGGAGAGGAAATGGGTCTGCCCCAGGCTCTCTGGAAACAGGTGGAGGCTGCTGCAGCAAGGTGGAGCTGGAAGGCTGCAGGGGGCACGAGGCCTAGTGGGAGGAAAGACATGACAGTGAGTCACCCTCACTCCCTGGGAAACCACCTTCTAGGACTTCTTCCTCCTGTGGCTCTTGCCCGTACCTGTCACCTGCTTTGCAAAATAGCCTACCCGAACCCCCCTTCCCTTTGCTGGTGGAAAATGGATTCTCAAGAGCCATTGGGCAGGCTCCCGCAGCCAGACAGCACACACAGAGGCTGGCTCCCGTGTCTTGCAGACAGGTCCCCAGAGCATTCTGTCCCGGTTTCTCTGTCCAAGCCACACTTTCCCCTGCAGACCCGGGTCTTCGGCACGACCGGATCCCACATCCCAACTCTCTCAGCCTCCTCTGTCTTCCCTTCCAGGCTGGGAAATAACCACATCACCGCCGAGGGAGCCCAGGTGCTGGCCCAGGGGCTCCGGGCCAACACCTCCCTGCAGTTCCTGGGGTAGGTTGGATTCTGGGCCCCGGGCCGCGTGGAGGGGTTTGGGGCAGGTGGAACTTTTGAACCAGAAGGCCCCAGAGGCAGCGCGGGCTCCAGTGGGGAGGGTGAGGCAGGGAGACAGTGGGTGGCCCCTGGCTGCCCGGGACTTGCTTTCCACTTGATAAACAGGAAGCTCAGGATGTCAGGGCTGGGGGAGGGCAGTGCCACAAGGTGGCAGGAAGCCTCGGGTTCTTGCTTCTCACCTGTGTCTGTACATGGGAACCACCGGGCAGCTTCTGCAGAGCCACTGCCTGGGCCCCACCACAGACTAATTAAGGGAACTATCTAGAGGCAGGGCCCAAGGATCAGTAATTTTCTAAAGCTCCCAGAGAAGGTGCAGCCAGGTGAGGACCACGGAAAGAGAAAGATTAGGGGAAGGCTGGGGAGGGACCAGGTCCTCCAGAGCCCCTGCTTGCTGGAGGGATGCCAGGCCTGCGAGTGGGGGCGGGAGTCAGGCGGGCTGGGAGGGTAGTTCCCCAGACCACGGGGCCCCAGCGTGGGGTTTCCTGCTTGCTGGACACAGCATCAGCCCCCAGCAGGCACAGGCACCTGTGGGTACAGTTACCAGGAAGCAGGTCTGACCTAAATGTCAAGGAAATGTCACAACCATGTGAATTGTCATTGGGAGTGAGTTTCCCGTCCCTGTGGGTGCACCCTGGGTGGGCTTCTGCTGTTCTGTGAGTCTGATTTTAAAGCAGCTGAAAAATCTGAGTGAAGATTGGCCATCCCTTGGAAAAGATGGAGGCAGGCCACTTCGCTGGGAGCTAGGAGCCCTGCTGAGACCTTTCCGGGGCTGGGGTTCCTGCCCCTCTGGCTGGGGCCATGGAGAGGAAGGGAACGACCAGAGCATGTCTAGAACACAGAACACATTCTCGCCGACACTATCTGTTGACTCTGTTGACCTTTTCAGGTTCTGGGGCAACAAGGTGGGTGACAAGGGGGCCCAGGCCTTGGCGGAAGCCTTGGGTGATCACCAGAGCTTGAGGTGGCTCAGGTAAGCTTCGGTGCCTATCCTGCGGTTGTCACAGGGAGCCAGCATGAGGAGGGAGGAGCCTGGGCAGGTTCTGAAGGTCTTTGACCTTCATTTTTACCCCCCTATGTTAGGCAGTGGGATGCGAAAGAAAGACCGTGGGATTTGGAGTTAGGGCGCTTGTGTCTTTCTAGGTGACTTTGGGCCTGTCCTTTCCCCTCTCAAGGGTCTTGATTCCCTATCTGTAAGTTGAAGATGTTAGGCTGGAGCGAGGACATTTTACCTCAAGGACCAACCTTAGTCCAGTCCCAGTGCTGCCCAGGCCACCGAGTCGGGAAGGGTTCCAAGGCTGCATGTGGCCTTGATGGGAAGAGCGCGGTAGCCCATTACCGATTCTGACCTGGAGCGGATGGGAAGAGGGGCCCTGCGTGCTGTGCATTCTGCCCTTCAGGGCTTAGCTCATCTCTGAGGTCCCTCCTGCTCTGACATGGTCTCGCTCCTGATCACATCCAGCCTGGTGGGAAACAACATTGGCAGTGCGGGTGCTCAGGCCTTAGCCTCGATGCTGGAAAAGAACACGGCACTGCAAGAGCTCTGGTGAGTCTGGGGGAGCCCTTGCTTTGGGGGGAAGGTATCAGCCTCTCTTCCTTCCCTGGCCTGACCCGGGGAAGCAGTTGTGTGGGTGAGACAAAGGTGTATGACTGAGTGATGGGGCCACCGCGTGCGTCTTTTCGTGTCCTGGGGGATGAGGCTTACGGGGCCCAGCACGGAGGGGCTCCCTCTCTTCAGTCAATGCACTTCTGGGTTTGTTGGTTTGTTCGCTGCCTCCGTGTGGCCTCATGGTTGCGGGCACAGGTTCTGAACCACGTGGCTGAGCTTCAAGGCCGGCTGTGATCTTAGGCAAGTTCAGCGGCAATCTCTGAGTCTTAGGTTTCTTCCAACTAGAAAACACTTCTGTAAGAATTAAATGAGGTGATGCCTGTAACGAGCTTGACGTGTGTAAGTGCTTCATAAATGTTCCACTGTGGCAGTGACGTGTGGCTGCTGCTGCTACAGCCGCTATGGTTAACTGTGACTTACTACTAACAATGTGCCGTCACTCAAAGTGAGCGGGGTGCCTAAGAGCACCACACACAGAGTCAGGGCCACCGTGGAGGGTGGGGTGGAGTTTGGGGGAAGTTGAAAGATGAACCGTGAATCAAACTGTCACAACGGACCTGAAACTCATTCCAGGTTTTCCATCCTTTAGATGCTACCAGTCTAGTCTTCTTAGGACATGCCCTTGGCGGTTCCAAATTATATCAGGCAGTTAAGACGTTGATTTATCTAGGAAGCCGAAGGGCACCAAAAGCTCTGAGCATTGGGATATAGTGGCTGGGCCTTGGCTGTTGGCAGGGCTCGTTGGTTCTGCCCATGGACCACTGTTCCTTCCCTGGTTGGGTTTCACCACCTGGAATTTCTCGTTAGAGGAGCGCCTCGCTGTGAGTGCATCAGGTATAACCTCTGTCGGCTGCAGGTGAGCGAAAACCACCGTCTACAGTGGCTGAAACCAGTAAAGGATTAATTTTTCCACATGCGAGCATTCTGGACGTAGGCAGCATAGGGCCCGTGTGGTGGTGCCCCAAGGCCAGCGGGGTCTGGACTCTCTCTGTTCCATCACATCCTCTGTCTGTGGCTTCACCCTTAGGGTTGGTGGCCTCATGATCACAGGAGGGCTGCAGCACCTCCAGCACTCGGTGTGTATTCTCAGGAAGGGCAAAGGCACAGCCAGCCGGGCTCTTCCCTTTTAAGAGCATTCCCAGGAGCTCACCTGTCGACTTCCCCTTACGTGTTCCTGGCATGTGGGTGCCCCTTGGCCGACCCTGGCTGCAGTGGAGAGTGGGAAATGTCGTATTTGTTGTTGTTTGTTTGTTTGACCAAGCACATGGCTGCCCCAGACAAAATACATTTCAATTAATAAAAAAGAAAGGGAGGATGGATCCTGAGTCACTGGGACAGGAGGGAGCTCCTCACCTAGTGGAGAATTTGGGCAGATCTCTCTGCCCAGGATGTCCCTGGAACGGAGCCCCTCACACCCGCCTTCTGTGGTCTTACTTTGTTTGTAAGTGTGGGTTTTCAGATGTTGGGCTTTCTAAAGGGGGGGGTACAGCCCATCTGCGGGGACCTCGTCTTCCATAATGAATGTTATCGCATCAACGGAGTCTTCTCTCTCTTCTTCCAGTCTGGAGGAGAACCGTCTCCAGGATGAAGGTGTCTGTTCTCTCGCCAAAGGACTTAGGAGAAATTCAAGTTTGAAAGTCCTCAAGTAAGGAACCCGCCCGTCCAGGGGAGCCGGGGTAGTAGTGAGTGGCATGGGAGGGGTGTTTCTGAATCAGAGGCCTGGGCGGGTGCCCAGCCTGCCTAACTCCCACAGCCTGGCCCGGCTGAACACGGCTGTATTGCCCGGGAGCCCCCAAACGCAGGAGGGATTCCAAGGCAAGGTGGTCCCAGCGAACACTGGTGACAGAGCCATGAAGTGAGGTGGGAAGGGGAGGTAACCGGTAACAGTGTGTCACCAAGTCTGGTATCACTGAAGCTACCAGGGCTCAATCCCGCTGTTACGAGGCAGTGGGGCTATTTGTCCACCAACTGGCTGTCCTTTTGTTGAAATGAGCATGCTTCCGGAGTCAGGAGCAAGGCCTCAGGCAGAGTGGGGGTCTTCCCAGCCAGCAGCCATCAGAGCTGGAGGTGACAGCTGAGGGGACATGGCTGGGCTGCCGACAGCAGGTGCTGTGGGCCCCTCCCATCTAAAGGCCTTCTCTGGCCCAGGCGAGAGAAACCTTGTGCTGGTCACCTCCAGTGGTTTCTCTCGTGTTACGCGGGCAGGCACCTTGCTTCGCTTGTGAGGGTGTTCATCTGCGCATGTGTGGAGACGAGAAATGTTTTGGGCTCCCACTCCGTGCGGCACAGAGTTTAACATGATAAAAAGGATGGGGCAGACCCCTGCTCACCCCGCCCTGAAATTCTAATGGGAGACACAGGTAACGAGCAGGTAAAGACATACATGTGAGCGGTAAGTAGTAGTGAGGGCTCTAAGGAGAACTTGAGAGGCGAAACAGAGTGAAGAGGGGAGTTGCTGCTGCTCGGACAACGCCCCTCTGAGAAGATGGCTTCTGAGTTAGAACCCGAACAACAAGCAGGTCCCTGCCATGCTGAGTCTCAGGGACGTGTGTCCCAGGTAGACAGAGCAGCAGGTGCCAAGGCCCTGCGGCAGAAACAAGCCTGGTGGCTTGGAGAACAGAGGAGGGCCTTTGTGGTGGCTCTGTCGGAGGGTGGAGGGGGCAGAGGTGGGGCAGTGAGCTCCAGGGGCCTGAGCCGTGGGAAGGATGGGGCTTCTTCTGAGGACACTGAGACGCCTTTGGAGGATTTTAATGAGGAACTCACGTGACCTGATTTACATCGTAGAAAGGTCATGCTTGCTGCCTGATCAGAACGGGTAGAATGAGGGGTGATGTGGGGAGACCAGGCAGAAGGCTCCAGGCGTCTTCCAGGCACAGATGGAAACTTGGATCAGGCTGGTGATGTGGAGGAGGCTGGTGAAAGGGGCCAGGGGCTTGTGGTGTCCTGCAGGTCCAGGGGACACTGGAGGCAGACTTGGCGGGCAGGGACCCCTCCCACGTGGAGATGGATGGCGGATGGGAGCGGGAGTCCATGACCGCCACAGGCTGTGTGGGTGCTCTCTCAGGCTGGTGCTTCCGAAGGACACCGGGCGTTACAGATGGCTCCTTTTGCTGGAGGAGGGTGGCATTTTCCCTGGCAAACGTGGCCCGAGGGACACTGTTGCCTTTAGAGAAAGGCAGACAGCTGCCTGTGGGAGAGCAGCTGCTTTGCTGCCAGCCTGCCTGCCACTCTGGCAACGCTTGTTTGTGTCTCTTTGAGGGGTGATGCAGTTGCCAAATGTTTGGGGAAAACACTTCCGCTCATCACATGGGGGAAAGTGGGCTGGGAGGGGGGGGTGTCTGAGCCGGGACACCAGGCTTTGAAGACAGGAGGCCTGTGGCGATACCTGCTTTGTTACTGACCAGGTGTGGATGTGGCGAATGCGCGCTCTCTCATGGCCATAGACTTACCCAGTCGACCCCAAGGGGTGCTAGGCGGTGGCAGCAGCGGTTGTCCCATGCGGCCTTGGCATGAGTCTTATAATTCAGCATCACTGAATTAAATCATCCCTCACTGTTTCCCCATAAAAAGATGCCTACGTCCTTTTTTTAACCAAACTGCCAAGCGTTGGTTAGGAGTGCAGGCTCCGGACCCGGTGGCCTGGGTTTGGACCCAGCCCCACCATGACCGGCTGTTGCTCCTTGGACAGGGGCCTCGGTTGTCTCAGGTGTGAATGGGGGTAATTATCGGACCCTCATCATAGGGTTTTGAGCAGGAAAGGGTGTGGTAAAGAGCTGGCACATAGTAGGAGCTCCACCCAATGGGCAGTTGTTATTCACAGCTTTGCCTTGGGGCCAGTTTCTGAGAAGTTCTGCATTTGTGGAGGAGGTGGGAGGCAGGGAGTGGAGATTATCTAGCAAGTGAGCTATGAGCAGGTCAGCATGGGGACCCCGGGGCTCTTCCCCTGCTGTTCCCACAGAATGACACTTCCCTTCCTCATTCCCAGCCTCGAGTTTTCTCTGTGCCCCCCGGGGCCCCAGAGGAAATGTCCCTGTTCAATGATTGTTTTCTATCAGTTAATCACGGTGCTGAGTGGTTTAGAATAAGCCCTTCTCTAATTCTTATACTTTGAGAAGTGGGCACTCTTTCAGGTCCATTTAGAGATGAGGAAGGTGGGACTAATTTGCTTGAGATCCGGAAGGAAGTGGTGTAAGTCGGACTTGGACCCAGGGAGTCTGGCACTAAGATGCACACACTTGGCAGCCATGCTGTAGCACCTTCCCCAGGGAGCAGCCACTTAATCAGATAATGAATCTGAGAGTGGAAGAGAGAAGCGTGCATTTCTCCTTAGGCACTGCACCTTTGGTGATGAGCTCATCGGGAATCTCAGCAGGGGAGGGACATGTCCAGGGGGCCGGTGGGCTTGGGCAGGCTGACCAACTCCCAAAGCCTCCTTTAATTGGAGAGGCCCAAGAGGGCAACCCAGCATCCTTGACCCTCACTGTTGCATCTTCCTCTGCAGGCTGTCCAACAACTGCATCACCTACCTCGGGGCAGAGGCCCTCCTGCAGGCCCTTGAAAGGAATGACACCATCCTAGAAGTCTGGTAAGGGCCCTGGGCAGGCCTCTTTACCGCTCTGAGCCTCAGTTTTCCAACCTGTAAAATGGGGTGAGGGGAGAGAGGAGCTTAAGAATTTCTAAGGCCCCTCTTGGCTCTGACACGTGGTGGATGTAGTTCTTGTCTGGGAAAGAAGTCTTCACGTCTCTGAGCAGGGGCCAATTCTTTTGTTTTTAAATAATGAGTATTTACTTGGAAATAGCTCTGTTCCAGGCAGGAGTATGGAATGTGGTTGAAGAGTAAAAGAGGAAAGAACTCAGCTCCTGCCCTCCTGGGCATTATATCGGCCTTCCCAGGTCAAGGCCGTTGAGTCAGACCCTGTGTGACTCTGGGTGGTTATTACACAGGGTGGACACTGCTGTACAATGTATCCAAGTCTTTATATTTAAAAGCCATGTTCTTTCACGTATTTGGAAAAAAACGATTGAGGCACAACTTCAAAGATTTATCTTCCTTTCCAGGAATGTAATTATCACTCAGATAGTAAGTAGAAAGGTCCCGCTGGTTTAACGCATTATACATGAACGTCACCATATATGCTTCAGACTCTGAGCTGGGAGCCAATACAGGGCTCCTTGACACGATGGGATTATGTCCCAATAAACCCCCTGTACGCTGAAAATATCATTCAGTCGAAAATGCATTGAATACACCTAACCGACTGACCACCACAGCTTAGCCCAGCCCACTCGGACATGCTCAGGGCGCTTACATTGGCCTCCAGGTGGGCACCATCTTCCTGTTGCCCAGCCTCCCGAGGGGGCATCCTACCACAGTCCCTGGTCCAGAAAAGGTCGAATCCAAAGTATGGCTCCTACTGAATGCCGATCGCTTTCCCACCTGAAAAATCAAGTCGAACCATTGTAAGCTGGGACCTATCTGTATTTTAAAACTAGGAGATTCCCCCATAAAGATCTAAAAAAAACCTGGCAAGCCTGGACCCCCAGTGAAAGTGCCAGTAAGGAAGCAGAGTAGAGGAAGGCCAGACCCTGGACGGGCAACTGCCCTGGCTGACCCAACCCTCCTGGCCCGCTGTCCGGGACCAGTCCCTCGGCTGCTGCACGTTACCGGCCTCCTCCCTGGGAGTTTGTGACCCGCTCTTAATATGCAGACTCGTCCCTCCCCCGAAATGCATAGCAAGGCGGTAGATATCAAATGATGAAGTTAAAAATAAAGACTTCTCAGATTTGCCCTGTGATGGAGAGAGTCTCTGTCCGATTGTGCAATCCCCGTATCCTGTGAGGTCCGCAGGGCGTGGGCGCAGTGTGGGGTTTTTAAAAAAATCATTGCATAGCCCTAAGGAATGTCACACTCTGTGTCTGGGGGGAACAAGCCCACATCAGGTTGATATTTTAAGGGTTCTGATGTTATTTGCTTCCTGTTGGTGGAGCTGGGGAAGGGGGGCATGTGGTCGTGCTTGTTGCATTCTCGACAGATTCTGCTCTTGCCTTAAAAAGAATGGCTGGCTTTGGGGAGTCGGGCTGGCCGTGGCCAGAGTGGACTCTGAGCAGAGCCTGGTGTCATCATGCCCAGTGACTCAGAGCTGTCCTGGCTGGCACAGGGAAGAACCCTCAGGCTGCTCTCCCGGGAGCTGCCGCTGGCTAAGCGTAGGCCATCCCACGTAGCTTTGGGAGGTTCAGCTGCCATTGGGGAGCAATGCTGTGGCCCTGTCCTCACTCTGACTTCTCATCGCTCTGTCCCCTGAAGGCTCCGAGGAAACATGTTCTCTCCTGAGGAAACTGAGACGCTCAGCCACAGGGACAGCAGACTCCTGCTTTGACGTCTCCGGGCCCACGCTCACTTCAGGCTGTGGGGTTGGACCCAGAAGCTGGGTCACATCTGCGGGAGCCCGTTCGGACAGAGCCCCTGGTCCTGCCCAGGCCAACGCAGTAGGTCACCTTTGTTCTGGCAGAGAAGGGGTGTCAGTGCCCTTCAGAGGGGATACTCCAAAGCCTACTGTGGCCATCGAGTTCTTCCCACGGTTCAACCTGTGGGCTGGAGAAATGTGCAGCCCCTCCTTGTGGGGCCGGCCTCCAGCGATGGGACGGTCAGTGGACCACGAAGGTGACTGGGTGCCTGTTGGCGTAGAGACCTGGGTCCCCGTGAGGAGCTCCTTTCCACGCCCCTCCCGATGAGCGGGCGGCTTTAGGAGAAACTTTCTGCCATGTCTCAACTCATGGGCCAGCCATCCAGGCTGCTCCCCACCATCTGGCTCCTCTGCTCATCCTGGACCCTGCAGGGGGCATTTCCTCTGTGGTTGAGGATTGGACATCAGTGTTCTCAGCTTTGATCGCTCCCCTTCCCCTGCACAATGGGAGGGACTACAATTTGCCCTGCTCTCCTTTCTGGTCCTTAAGACATTATTGGGAGGGGACACATGACAGCTATTTAGTCCCCAAGGTCGTCTAGATCTGCAAGAAGAATATGACCCTACTACCGCTGGTCTCACACGTGAACTTTTATTTCAATTATTCTTTGGAATCAACTTCCTATCCAAATGCAGCTTTGGAAAAAGCAGTCTTTGCCAGGATTTGGGATGGCCCCACCAGGTCTCGGGGTGATGCCTGCGAGCTGAACTCTCACAACAGACTTCCAAAATGTACTCCTACGAGTCGGTTCTGGGTGATTTGTGCCAGGATGCTTTCAGATGTAAAGTTGTGGGTCAAAAGTTTACAGGGGCAAAATCAAAGGCCCTTCCTTATAAAGCAAATGTCTTTCTGGGTTTTTCAGAATGATGCGAACTCTCAGGTGCTGTGTAAGTGTTACTGTTTTCAACATTGTTATTTGTGAAAACTAGTTACTATTTATCAACCACTTTGTTTTATTCTCCCAAGTTTATATTTTTATGAAACAAACACACACACACACACACACACACACACACACACACACGACTAGGAATTTTATGCTGTACATAGTCACAGAGAAGAAAACCCTGGAGTTACCCAAGCTGTCTTCATTGTGACCAAACAATTGCAATGTTCCTGCAACTTGTCAAATATTAAAGCACAATTTTCTACTTAAAGGGGCGAAATTATGTTTTTAACCAGATCATTTATTGCTTAAGGCAAAAGCAAGTCTTGGAAATAGCCCTGCCATCGAAACATATTGGGCCTTGGCTTGGCCAAGTTTAATCCGCGTGACATTGAGCTGTGCCGGACCCTCGGGGTGCCCTGGCTGAGAGGCCCCAGCCCCCCTCCATTCTCCCCAAGTGGCTCCAGGCGCCTTTTAACAGAAGGATGGAGAAGATCTGGGAACAGCTCTCAGCCAGCAGCCTCCCGGTAGGCCTTGTGGAAATAATTCGTAGCTGCATTTAATGAGCAAGGGCTCAGGTGGCCGCTTACCAGAGAGAAGCCCTCTTTGAAAGGTCCTGAGTGTGCCTGGCTCGTTAAATGCGGCAGCAGGCCCCTGGCGCCTGCGGGTGAGCGTGTCGGGGGGCTCTCTGTCGGGGCGCTAGGCTCTGTCCAGACCATTGTTCCCCACAGAGGAGACCGGGAGGAAGGCGGAGATGGTCCCGCTTTCTCTTGAAGCGTGAACACAGCAGCCTCTGCGCACATCTGGGATTGTAAATGCATCTTTCTTCATTTTAGTCCGCAATTATATTAGCCGGACATGTTAGGATGGTCGGGTGAACAAAACAGACACGGCTCCCGTCTTCAAGGCAGTTATGAGAGGGGGAAGGGGAGGGAGAGGCAGGAAACAGGTAAACAGACAACAAGCTGCACAAAGACCCACTCGTGGGGAAGAGCCTGGTATGTGTGCTGGGCTGAATGCGGCCCCAGTGGCCCTAATCCCGGGACCTGGGACTGTTGCTTAAATGGCAGAAGGGACTTTAAGATGTGGTTAAGTTAGGGGTCTTGTGATGAGGTGAGTACAAATATGATCTGGATAGACCCCAAATGCAGCCACAGGTATCCTTGTGAGAGACGGGCAAAGGGTCTGACCCAGAAGAAGGCCGTGTGACCCCTGCTGTAAGAGGCTACACTACTGCCTGAAGGTGGAGGAAGGGACCCCATGGGCCAAGAAATGCAGCTCCAGAAGCTGGAAAAGGCCAGGACACATTTGTTCCTAGAGTCACTGGGGCCTGTCCAGCCTTGCTACCCTTTAGTTTCCAGCTCACTTGGGACTTCTGGCTCCGGGGCTATGAGAGAATAAATCGGTGACATTTTAAGCCACCGAGTTTATGGCAATTTGTTACAGCACCCAAAGGAAACCAATACAGCATGTTGGAGGCAAGGTAAGGGGACAGTGTGCCCAGAAGGGCTTGAAGAGGTAGGTAGGACCAGTCGCGAAGGGCCTAGCTGGCCAAGGTCAAGAGCTAGGGGTTGATCTTGGAATGGTGGCAAACCATTGGAGAATTCTATGCAGGGGAGATGTGACCCAATTACATTTAAAGAAGAGCTCTCCTGCTCCTGGGTGGAGAAGGGGCTGGAATGCACAGGGGTGGGAGCGAGGGGAAGAGGAAGTGGGGAGCCCGTCCAGGTAAGAAGCGGTTGGCTGGCCTGAGGTGGCGTCAGTGGAGGTGGCAGAGGAGATGGAGTCCAGAGACATTCTAGAGGTAGATGGCCGAGGGTTTACAGACGGACTGGATGGCAGGGATGAGGGCATAGGAAGGCTGGAGGGTGATTCCTAGATTTCTGGCTCGGGTAACTGGCCGACTGGAGATCTGGAAGCGGGAGGAAGAAGGCAAGTGAAGACATCAAGTTATGTGAGTCTGGGCCCTGTGGGAGAGGTGACCACCAGGTAAAACAGCACGCAGTCCTTGGGCCTGCAGGGCACATCCTGGGAGAGACTCTGGAGAGGGGAGAACTCAGGAGGGCTTGGGGAAGAGTGGTCCTGAGGGCTGGTATGTGATTACTGTCAGGGCTCAGAAGACGTTTCCTAACTTTGGAAAATCCAGCAGATCCACCAAAAACGTTCTAAGCCCGGGCAGGTAGCTCATGAGGCAGGACTTTCCATCTTAAAGTTCTCTGATAGGGAGGCTACCTGAAGGGTGTGTGCTGGGACCAGTGGCTTATCCAGGAGCAGACAGGTTTGTGGCTAAGAACACATAATTCTTATGTGTAGAAAAGAGGGATCAGAGCAGGAGGATGCTTTAAAAGAGCTTCAGACTTTTATAGTATTCACCATCATCCTAGAAGAAAAAAAAGTCAATCTGAGTGTTTTTCTCCCTACAGAACAAAAACCAGATGCTGAAATGAATCCCCCCCCCCAGCAGTGTGGGTGGTGGAATCAGGTTCCAAGCGGGTTGAGTCAAGACGACAGCATCATTTCATTATTGCACCAACATGTTCGCACCTCCCTCCCCACTCGGGTGCTGCAGCCTGTGGGTGAAGCACACACCGCCCGGCAGTGCCTGCGCGGGAGGGAACGCAGGGCCTCAGGCTCTGGCTGGCAGGTCACAGGTGAACAGCAAGGTCATGGATGACGTTGGGGACCGGCCTGGGCAGTATCTCTGGGAGAATGACATGGGGGAGGGACTGTAGCTGTGCAGACTGGCAATCCAAGGTCTCTGGCCCCCCGTTTTTGCTCTAAATTTAATCCCACCTATCATCATTTCCAGAACAACCCACAAATCCTATCTCCTAAGCATTACCCCTCCCGCCATCAGCCACCCTGAAAATCCTTCCCTGCAGGAGCTCTGCATCTTTTTTTTTTTTTTTTTTTTTAA